TCCATGTCAGATCATTGGATCAGCCTGAGGTATGGCGCTATCCTTACGCAGGAATCGAAAACATCAGCGCGAAAAACTCTTGAAGCGTTTTGGATCAATGCCAAAAATTCAAAAATGAACCGCAAGGAGGAGTGCCTTGTCATCACGCGTGACCTAGCGCCATACCTCAGGCTGATCCAATGATCTGACATGGACCCAGTTATCGACCATGTATTACTCTGTGCGGCGGCTATCCACCAACTAACTTAAATACTTACAACAAATAAACGGTAGGTGTTTGAATGAAGCTGTTTCTTATGCGAATACAAATCGATTTATCAAGTTTTATCTGCTAGGGTTATGAAAGTGTTTGGCTGAGTAGATCGCATCTCAATTTGACCTTTCCAGGCTCTGAGGAAGGCGAAGCCGCCGAAACGTCAGCAATTGTGTTCTAATAAATTCTATATTAACAACCTCGTGTCTGCTTATTGATGAAAAACATTGAAACTGCTTTTATTTTTGAAACTGTTTGAATTCGATTTATAAAACATAAAACGAAAGTGGAAAAGCCGTAAAATGCCAGCAGCACTTTTAAAAGCCACAGAAGGAGTTGAACGAAAGAAGAGGATACTTCCATTGAAGATAAATGCATTTACGTAGATTATAATTTGAAGAAAGGTATAGTACGACACACCTGCTCGACAGCCGGCTGACGGTAGACGCGGGTCGAATGCGGAGGCGAGACAAGTACGCCGTATTCGGATTCGTCGTAGTTACAGACCTAGGCAAATACCGTATATTGACATTATGAGATGACAAAGTTCTGTCCATTCTTAAAATACATTTGTTGAAGACGTCTTAACTTAAGGCTTCTCCACTCCCACATCAGCCTTTCGAAAATGTGTTCCGCTGAGACAGCATGTAACACTCTCGTCTCCAATAATGTTTTTAAGTTGGAACAATACCTTTATCTTCTTCGAAAAAAAGAGAGTCTAAGTTTTAGAAAAGAAAATGTCTAGTTAGGAATTCGAGACATAAACTCTTTATAGGCCAAGAGAAGAAAGTGGCAAAAAAATCGACATTTAATTAGAATAAAAGCTAGGCGACGGGCAGCAGATATCCGAGACTTGCTCCTGAGGAGGAAAAAAGAATCGTAACCCTCTTAAAAGCCATTTGAAAACCGCTCTTGAAAGTACCACTTCCTAGTAATATTATCCGTCTTCTTTAGCAAAATCTGTTGAGTAGGAGCGATTTTTCAACAGTTCAAATTACTGAATCTTTTTGCCATTTCGCTACAAATTAGCATTTAAGTTGATCCCACGAGGATGCGGTTTCGGATTAGAAATGTATGCAGCATGGAAAACACCCTGAATAAGTAGAAAGAGACTTTAAATATTCACAATGTAGTCGCATTTTTTATTTGCTGCCTTCCCTTTTCCAGTAGCAGGATATTATGTGAAATATAACCATCATGATGCTGAAATATTTGCAAAACTCCGGAGTGTCAGTGCCTATGGTAGGGAACGAACACGCTATCACACTTTCCGGAGTCTAAGGCGTTCATCACCACTCTATGCGTGTCCTTCGTTTCGTCTTTCTCTCAGCCATGTTATTGACCTATAGGTACTATCAGCAACCACCCGTCAACGGGGTTGATCTGTGGAGCACAAAACGGCATTGAACCTGGTTAACCGTTAGCCCACGGAAAAGGTAATAGGGTGCGTGTTCTTTCCCCACCGAAGAAATCTAAATATTCAATTTGTCAGACGTTCTCAAATCATTCAAGCTACAAAACGGTTTAGTTCGATTTAAAAGGAGAGCAAAAACTCAATAAAATAATAAAAATAAGAAAATAATAAATTAGTGTATTATTTAAATCGAACTATTGAGCTAACTTGAAAAGGCAATGTTAAGTGACAATTAGAAAGAATAGAAGAACGAATGGTTCTCACCGCATCATAAAAGTGAGATTTATCCCCAAAGAAATTTCCTATGAACTTTTCTTGCCAGAGTGTTACAGAACAAATATAAAATCTTCACAAGAATTATGGTCATGAAACTTCTATGCTACGTTGGCTTTCCTTTTGAGGAAACACAGCCCTCACCAAGAAAAACTCTAGAATTTCATGCAGAGAAATAGTACCATATTTATTACTGTAAGGTGAAAACTAAGGGCGACATTAAACATGAAAAATAGTGACACGGTGACTGCGATGAGCTTTGGAGATGTAGGCATCTCCATCACCTACGTAATCTCCCACTTTGCTGATCACCAAGTAACCTAAGATGAAATCAGTAAAAGGTTCCACTTCTTTCGTCAATAAAAAATAAAGCAACCTCGTCTTTACTCATCAAGAATACGAGGAATTATTTGTTCAACGTCGAGGTTAATAGAAACTCGGAGCTGGGATGGGTTTCATTTCATCCATGAACTGTTAGTAGCCTTCAGAGACAAAAACTAATCGCAGAATTCGTACTTGACATCTACCTTTAGAGTTTTTGGTGACAGAGAATTCATGAACAGCTTCCCAGTCCATGGATACCTGAATACTGGACTTCCTTATAAGCACTCTTCTTCTCTCGAAAACCAGTGGACTTTACTCGTTGCAGACGGACATTGACCGCCCATTTCCTATAGCTCTCAGTCATTTGACTGGATACTTTTTCTGGAAGCGACTTTATCGATACAATTCGCATAATAAAACCACCAACATGGATGATGATTGTGAGGGAAAGAAACGAATGACAAATATCTGTAGTCCCACTCGTAACAGCACTACTCTTAGGAAGACGAAGCAGCCAAAACGTCAGCCATAGACCAACAACAACAAAGACAACAACGACAACGACGGCAGCAACAACAACAATAACTCATACATAACCACGCGTCAGCTCAACAGGACCAGTTCATAAGAGATTATAAATAAATATATCGACCACTTATGCAGATGTTTACAAAAAGTCGGTCTTTTAAGTAATTAATGAATATTTGACCTCTAAAACGTCTTGCTTGTGCCCCATGTTAGAACTAAGTGCACTTTATCCTCCCATACAAGTCAGACACCAATTTACCATGTGGGCCGAAACAAGTGACAATCTATGTAGGAAGAGGTGGCACCAATCACTGCGCTATATGCTCTGGTCCCTCTTTACTTAAAAAAGAGCTGAGAAACAAAACTTTTCATGCAGACCACAATGGAAACGTTTGCAGAATTTCATTATTGTTTCCTGGATTACTTTCATCTTACATAAATTGAGTAACCAAATCTCCGGAGATTTTATTGCATTAGCATAATTTTAGTGCCTTCTCGTAAGGATGTCCGAGCTTCCATCGGATTTTCCAATAAAAACTCCCTTTTGGGATGTTAAATTGCAGTCCATGGGACAATAGATAGAATCGACGAAAGCTATGGCTGAATCAGTGCTATAATAGGTTATCTTGACTCGGTCCAAAAAACTGGAGAAAAGAGAAAGAAGTAATATTGAGGAAGGAATGGACACACAGTTCTGTCGACAGACCAGTCATCACAATGTCCCAGGAGGAGGCAAGTACTCCTAGATCATATGCATACAGGAAACAACATTATATATACATACATATGTATATATATATATACATATATATATACAATATTGTCTCCTTTCAACGGTTTACCGCCACAACGCGGTGTTCCTGGATGTCGGGCTTCGATGTACAGCGAGGGATTCATCCCCGCAGCAGGGAGTCCAAAGCTGAAAAGGAGTCTGTCGTTACCACCGGGAAGCACTAGGACCCACCACCGTCCTATTATTAAACTAGTCGAAGTGGCAAGTCCCCCTCTGATTCACAAAGGCGGTGACTGCTTGTGGTGGTGACGACCTAGAGCAAACTTTGGCCAGGACGAACTCGGGGCGCCAGAGAACCACAGTGGAAAAACCAGCGAAACTCCGAAAAAGTGGAAGTTATCCTGGAAGCCGCACAACTAGTGAGGGCGGGCCATTTAAGTATCTAGGTAACTAGTAAGCATGTGTTGCTCTCATGCATTCGACAATAAATGCGAAAATTTCATCGGGAAGAATGATTCCCGTCACAGATAAATCGCATTAAGATCTTCATGCGAACTGAGATATGACAAAACATAAACGGACAGATTTTTAAGCAGAATTCATAAGGATAAAATGAGTTGTGAAGCTTGTACCATTCGTACCTGGTCTCGGGTGATATATTCGGGAGCAATGCCGGCCACCATATCCTCTTCATTGTCGAATGTGCTCAGATCGATGATTTTCTCAATTATCTCTGAAAAAAACTATTCCTTTATACATCATCTTGTTTTTTTTCCCTCGTGAGGTACATACAAAATTATTACTAATGACAAAGAAGCATCCTAGAAAGTTATCCCCACTTCTTCTTGTCAAAAGGAGCTTCCTGATAGTCAAACTGCGCTAGTGGGATAGTGAGATTTCGTTCACGGATAGAGATTATAGAGCTTGGAAAAAGTCTGATACCTCGATCTGGAAGCCCAAAACAACATATCCCTCGGCATACAAAGTCTCTAAGACCTAAGACTTTGTGGGCCGAAAAAAATACACATAAAAGATTGAAGTGATTGAAATCTTGGTTTAAAGTTTTCTCTGTCTGGTTATGGAGGTGTTTAACCGAGTGGATTGCTGTCAACTTGACCCTTCCAGGCTCTGAGGAAGGCGAAATCCGCCGAAACGTCAGCTTGTGCGTAAATAAAGAAATAAAATAGCACCTCGTGCTTGCTGAACAGAAGTAGAAACACATAAAAGAATTCGTATAAAAATGTGGCACTTCCCAACCACTTCAAGAAGTGATGTCCACTGAGCTGTTTTGAAGTGAAGTAGACATAAATAAACATTCCGTTAGTGCTAATCGAACCAAAAAAGTAAAGCTGGCGGCTTTGATCAATCCCTGAGGAATGCGCCATGCATTCGACTTGATTACGCATCGCTGTAGGTAATTGAATGCATGTCTGGTCTTTAAAATGACACGGTGGCTTACCGATGTATCGGTCCAACGCTGCTATCCTCCCAGACAAGTCTGATACCAACCTCCTGACCACGGAGAGATAGAAGGCTTGGTGAGCCTGTGGCACGAGATTGAACCCACATGTATTTCAGGAAGCGTCTAATCACTGTGCTACACGCGTCCCTACTTTTACATTTAGTAATCATCTTTAAACAGGAATATTAGTGATACAAACGAAACAAGTGGAAAAGTAAGAGAGCTTTTGCATGTAGCACTTTCATCTATAGAACTCTATCATTAAAAAGGAATGTTCTAATAGTTGCATTAAACAAAGAATAGAGAATAAAGCTCTCGGCGTTGATCAATCCCTGACGGATGTACCATGCATTCGACATCATTAATCATTGTTTGGAGGTGATTAAATGCATATCGGTCCTTTGCAATGACTCGCGGTTACTTACCGATGTATCGAGCCAGTGCTACTTTCCTCCCAGAAAAATCTGGGACCAATTTGTCGACCCCGATGGAATGGAAGGCTTGGTGAGCCACGAGCACGAGGATCGATTCTATGTGTGCATTGCAAGGCGCCTCCGAGCACTGCGCCACACGCGTTGCATTTTAAAAATGGTTACTAAATAAAGTACTAAGCTGCCATAATCACTTACGATTTTCTGCGCCACGTCTTGCCCGAGTTCGGCCAACCACGGCTTCCTTTAGCATACCTAATGCTCCACCACGAATCACATTCCCAGCTGGTACTAACATCATCTGACATGACTTGTTTCCACCTAAATAGTCTCAGTCGAAAGGAGCTGTACAGAGGTTCGATAAACAGTACAACTAATGTTTCGACTCTCTTTTTTGCATATCAAAACGGGCATGAAAACAGCATTCTCAAGTGCTACATACAGATATCGATTGATTTTTTAAAAATATTTTTGGGGTTATGGATAATCCACCAGGTAGAAACATACCTGGTACAAGGACCACACAATAAGGAGTGATAGGTTGTACGAACCCGACTGCTAGTGTGAAGACAACCCACGAGCCAAGCGAAAACAGCAACAGCAGCTTTTGTTTCCTTGAATGGAAGCTTATATATTATACTTATGAAAACTTGTATAGTCACGGTAGTATATATATATATATATACATATATATATATATATATATATATGCTATAGCTCCATACATAGCATAGCTCTATTAGTATGTAACTCTAATAAGGATAAGATCCGCCGCAACGTTAGCTTGTGAATAAATGATATATTATAACAAACTTGTGTCTACAAACAAAGAAAATAGCGCGGGTTGGAGTAACAATCCTTAAGTAATAGGATAAAGGACAGAGTGTTGGTGTTAATCTGTTTTATCGATACACTCTGTCCACCTCGGTTAGTTGATGGTCTTGGCTAAAGTGTGGTACAAGATCGAACCAAAAACCTTGGCTGTAGTGCATAGTATCCATAGCTACTGCGCCACACATGACCTATTTAAATTAGTCCATAATAATGAGAACAACAATATTTACAGACGCGAACGATTAAGAGAAAGGGATGCCATTGTGCGTAACATAAATATCGATCAGGTGTTACAATCTAATCGATATTTATATTTAACATTGTTGATATGAGAACGTCAAGGTGCGCAAACGTTGTCAACCATGAACATTTCCAGTTGTTTTTCATTTGAATTAGCTCTCTCACTTACAGCTTTCCTATACTTCAAAAGATCTCTCGTTCTTAGCTCTAAATTTCATTTTTTACGTCTCTTCTTGGTCTACACAAAGGTTTTCTTGATGGTTTTGAAAGTGTATTTCATAGTCTGGCAATACTTTAATAGATGCAAAATCAATCTGTGATCTGTCCTTTTATTTTCAGTTTTGCTATTTCTATTTCCTGTGGATTTGTTCCTTGGTTAAAAGCTTGAAACTCTGACGCTCTTGGTGTTGACCATTCCCTGAGGGATGCGTGATGCATCTGGCTTAGCCAAACAACGTTAGAGGTAATTGAGTACATATCAGACCTATATGACTCGCGGCGGCCTGCCAATTTATCGAGTCAGTATTGCTATCCTCCCGCACGGGTCAGGTACCAATATGCCAACCCCGTGGGGATTAAAGGCTAGGTGGGACATGGGCAAGGGAATGAAGCAATGAACACGTATGTATCCCAGGGTAACTCTGACTATTGCGGCAACGCACCTATTATTTGATTAGTTTTTTACTTCATTAGCCTCCCTACAACAACGCGACGTTACGAATTGAGTGGTACAACCACAATGAAGCTGAGATATTTGTAAAACTCCGGACCGCAAGTGTCTGCGGTGGAAAGCGAACGCACTATTACTCTTTCCAGGGGCTAACGCGTTCACCAACACACCATGGGGGTCCTCCACTTTCACACTACGAACTGTATTTGTGAAGGTTTCCCTTTGATTTACTACCTCTTGTGAAAGAAACAAGTCGAGGATTTCCATGTTTCATAAAGATACGGTTCTGAAAACTTCCGAAGTTATTTCTGTAGAGTCACGCCCTTCATCCACCTCTTCGCAGTTGCATTTTTTTCAATATGACACTAGGCTGAAGAGGCTGAAGAGGTGCAAGGACGCTCAAGTTTTTTCTGTTCAGTTCCCAATAATTCAGGAAAGAGAAACAGTGGTCATTTTCCTTGATTGCGGTCTCTTGGGGAAAGGAAACTATTTTGAGAATCAATATTGCAGAACACGGAGGGTAACAAAGTAGACAAAGGGGTAATTGCCCGTGATGAGTGGCTCCCCTCCACGATTTCAAATTTGAGGTTTTCCCATGCAAAACGATGACCAGCTGGGACATAACCTATACCTACCGTAGTAAGCATTACAGTGGAATAGTCATTCATAAGTAAAAAGTCTTATCGGTAAGTGAAAGACAACGACCAGAAGAATACTCAGCCGACATTTAGAATAAATCGCTCGAAGGAAATCAGTCCCTAAGGAAAATTTTGTGCATTCTACTCTGTTCGTTGCATGGCAGAGGTGACTGAATGGAGCATCTGGTCTGTATGGAGATTTGCAGTAAGCCGCCGTTGTATTGAGACAGTTTATTGTCCAACCAAATAAATCTCTTACCAATTCATTGGTCCCGTAAGGGTGAAAAGCATAATCTCCCCGGAGCACGGAATTTGACCTACGACCAAGTGCGTATTGCAGGCGCCTATGACTACTACGCTACAAGCACTCAGTTCTGGAACAAAGGTAGATAGTAGTGAAATAGGCAGCATTCAGCTTACTGGTTAGAGGTGTTCTGGAGTAAATCTGTGGCCTTTGGTTCGATTCTGCGTCCTGAGCAAAACAAGCCCTCCATCCTGTTGGGGTGGGTAATTGGTACTAAGTGGTACAAGATGTTCTTGAGTGGACAAAAAACCGAATTGATACAACGGTAAGCCACCTCAAGCCAATGTATATGTAGGTTAGATATGCATTCAGTAATGTCTATTATGTTAAGGAATTATGCTACGGATTGAATAGGATGCATGCGCCGCATCAATTAGGGATTAATCAATAACAAGAGTTTAGTCTCTTATCCCTATAACTTTGAAATGAAACGGAAAACCTCTTGTAAAAAGTGTTTAAAGCACATTTCCAGGGAACGATAAAGTTTAAAATCACCTGAAACGATTGGCGAAAGAAGCCCAAAACGGTCCCGAAGCGAATTCGATGAGGGGACGACATCCGAGGAGCACTCCAGTCTATAGAAATGCGAAAACGAAGGTAGCAGGAAAAAAGAAGCATTGTCATTCTTATAATTTGAACAATTGTGGAAAAAACAATAAAGAGCTCTTAGGCACAGGTACTTTCTAACTTATATAGATATTCAAATTCTTAATTGACAACTTCTAAAACCAACTGCCTTTAATCCCGGCATCGATCAATAAGTCACCGTTTTCCTGATAAAGGCTATTGCTATAATAGCTACTGCACAAACATGAGTAAAGTTTCAAACACTGCTAGTCCAATGCGACGTTTCTGGCTTATAATAAAAGGAGGCGACGAGAGGAAATAACCCTGAATAGGGCGAATTCCGTCGGAACGTCAACCAGAGGGGAAAAGTGTTGTTACTGTTGTACATGGACAACATCGTATCAGTTTGCTCAGAAACAGTAACTTATTCAGTCTTTTGTTCTGTTATTCTATTTCGTAGCTGTTATTATCATTAAGTGCTAAGAACCTGGATGACTTTCTGGATTTTCTGGAAGAACCTCTGATATCGAACACTTCACTTCATTTCCTTTCTTTTTAGACGGTTTGCTAGATTTGTAACAGGGTGGCGCATAATGAAGTATCTTAGATTCGTAAATTATTAAGAGCTAACAATCGCTTCGCACTAGTCCATCTACGGGCATTAACAACGACAAAATCTATCGCCCGATTAAATCTATGCGGTGGATTCGATGAGCGGAATGAGAAGCACATCATAGACAACAGAGAACATAGAGATGGCTTGCTATTATTACTCTACACAACAGTCAAAGGTTGGAAATCTCAAACACAGACGGATTTACTTAATACTGACAACGTTTCGGACTACCAGAACAAGCAACAAAATACGGCTTAAATATCACCTTTGGTGAGAAAGAAGTCAAAAAAGTATTGTAGCTGCTTTGAAGAGAAGAATGATCGCCTACCTGTGCGGCAGTCATCCCGAGTTGTTTGAAGTAAACAGCTAACAAAGGAAAAAGCGATCCAAATGATGCGAAATATGCTAGATAGAACAGTCGACAAATGAAGGCGTTGCGTGGAAAGATTCGACCGAACAGTGATATCGTACGCTCACCGGCCGAATTCTCCATGATCGAAGAATACCTTGCGCTTTCGAGATTCTAAATGGAGATCGCCTTCTGGAAGTTTTCTGTCTTAGCGGTGCCGCTGTCGATGCATTAGGATGTTGTGTTGACGTCAGTGAAGGCAGCCGCTGCCGAGTGAGTGACGACGACGATCAATGAAGCAACGCGAACTGAGAGTGGATGAGTTCCAAAGAAACGAGTGAGAAGACTACGAATATCGACAACACTCACTGCCAACGACCAGACTCCAGGTAACGATTGTTATGGAAATCATCAAGCTTCGAAGCGGCCACGTTTGGACATTTTCTCTCATTCCGGTGACATTCATGACGATAGTTAGTCTCCTCAGTGATCAATATCACTTTTAAACAGGTTTTGGATCAACCTCGTGAACGTCCGTAATATTTTAGTTAAGGGTGCTCTGATTCTCATCACTGGCCAGTTTGGTGAACCTTTTCAATGAGAAGCGATAAAGCAGTACAATTCAGACTGGTACGACTCCTGAAAAATACTTGGTTATGTGTAGTGCTGGATCAGCCCCATTCCGGGCTTGCCAAGCTTCTTGTCCTTCTGGGATCGGGAAGTTGGTACCGGACGTGTTTGGAAAAAGTTCGCCCTCTGTGATCCAATTGGGGACGCTTCAGCCCAGCTATCTTAGAACTTCAGGGAGAATCGACTCTACCAGCATTCGGCGACATCCATTACGAAAACGAGATGCTCAAGCAACGGGCAAGCCGTCAACTAAAAGGTTAGAAGACCCTCATGGATAATAAATACGAGAGAACAAATCGTATGAAAGAAGAGCAGGGATCCACGTCGATGTCAAAAACTGCTCGTTTAGAAAAAATTTTCTTTGAGGTGAGTACATATGAACAGTTTGGTAAAATGTCATAACCAATCCTTTAATACACAGCATGATTTTTGGTTATCTGATTCCCAAATGGTCATCATCCATAGATATTCTTCTTATTCTGCACAACGACTGCTGGGAACATGGTCCATTGGGTCAGAAGTAGTGTCCACTTAGTTGGCGAGAGCAATGGACACGCTCGCCCACTATGTAAATAGTTTATCATGAGGACGTTTTTTCTCCTAACTTCTCCTTGATCTGCTATCGTCCATTCGTCATCAACGAACTCTCGAGATTTATTTTTAGACTGGTTCCCTTCCACATTTGTCTGTCACTCCGTGGGTGCTACACCCACAAATTTTTCAACATTGTTGAGTTTTAACTGCATAGGAAAAACCGTGAAGAGAGGCAATTATTTTCTATTCTGCAGTTTAGTCTTCAAAGAAAGGTGGAGGTTTCGCGTGTTGTGTGTTCAGTAATTGTCACTTCGTTGGGCTTTTCCTTGATTGTTGAAATAACTCTAGTGCCGACCTCTTGCATGTCAATGAGCCATGTATGTGGGTTTATCCTCTCTGCAGGTTATCCAAGCTGTCAATAAGCATGACATTTTATCGACACCTCATTAAACGCAGCGTACATATTACCCACTGAACCTGGTGAACCACTTTTGGCATACCACGCGAAAACTGGTGAGAATAAAGGGTCTCAGATGCAAACTGAGAATCACTTGACTTACTAGTGATGCAGATGAATCCCATACTACTAGTTTTATTGGTGAGAAGATTGTTGTTATTGAAGTTTTGCAAATATCTGAGCATCATTGTGATTATATCTCACATCATACCCTGCCATGGAAAAAGAATAAGCAGTAAATAAAAAGTGATTACATTGTGAATTGTACCCATCGATTTGCTGTGCATACTCAATACTGGTTTGTCCTCCCTAGGTCCCCAGATCAATCCTGTCGATGGGTGATTGCTGTTAGCATCTATAAAACACGGCTGAGAGAAAGGCGAAACGAAGCATCCGCATGGTGTGATGGTGAACGCGTTAGCCCCGGAAAGGGTAATAGCGGTGGGTAAACTCCCCACCGCAGACACCAGTTGTCCGGAGTTTTGCAAATATCTCAGCATCATTGTGATCATTGTTGCTATTATTCTTATTCTTCCCAACCATTTACAGCTTCGTAGTGGCTAGACGGTGTTCTTGGGTGTCCGGTTGCGATGTACAGCAATGGATTCATTCCCCTAGCAGAGCTTCCCAAGCTGAGATGGAAATCTGGGTTTCTATCGGGAAACCCAGCTAAGAGTAAACCAATATAAGGATCCGTCCTGATATCAAACTATTCGCGCGGTGGCAAATCTCAAGGGAGGCGACTGCCTGCGGTGGACACGACCTTAAGCAGATTTTGGATAGGCTGACCTGGAGACTCCAGGAAACCACAGTGGTTAAGCGAGTGAAACTCTGAAAGTTGGAAATTATGCTGAGGCCCACACAACCAGTGAGGAACATCCACGTATCCAAGCAAGTAAGTGTTATTCTTATTAATAGTGGTTGCAATACTAGTAGCTGGAGTAGCTTAGCCGAGCTTTTGGACATAATTGTAAAATATTCACCAACGTGATTAATCCTCGCTAAAGATCAAGACGTTTGCTACATTTCGTAGAGAAAAACCACAGAGTTCGAATCCAATAGGATAGAAAGAGCTCTTATTACCACAATTATCATGATCGTTAATCTTAGGATCGACTTTCTACTAAGCTCAGCTTAGATCAAACCGAAAATCAATTCGCTGTATTCTTGATGAACAAAGACGAGGTTGTTATTCCACTCTTTATTCACGAAAAAAGCTGGTATTTTGGCGAAATTCGCGTTCTTCGGATGATGGGTGGTCAAGTTGATTGTAACCCACCCAGCCAAACACCTCCATGGCCAAAGCAGAAGAAACACAAAGCCACGATTTCAATCGTATTGAATTGAATTGAAAACAAAGAAGTTTCTGGGACGGATGATTCCCTTTACAATAACTCGCGATGGCCTGCCGATATATCGGGCCAATGCGGCTGTCCTTCAGGACCAGTTTGGTACCAATTTTCCGACTCCGGAGGGATGGAGGGCTTGATAAGCAAGGAGCGCAAAATAGACGGGACCTCTTTGTCGTTGGAATTATTGTTTGGGGGCATGGGTTTCCCTCTGCATCCATCCCGAGACGCTACGAATTCGTAGCCATTGGAATTGGCTATTTGTCGCCCTCAATTTCAGGGATTCCTTCTCCGCTCTCTTCCTGTGCACACACTGGTTGCTGTTCGAAACATGCTTCTTACAAGCGCCATTTTTGTGTGTGGAGGGTGAGAGGGGGGTAATGAATTAGCATGTTTCTACTACTTGGCTTTGGCTGCCATTTGGTAACACGGTAGTTTTCGGGTAGGTTAGTTTGAGCGTTCAGAAATGGAAACCAGTTTTCCTTCGGTTTCCTTGAAGTAAATTTAATGTGCTTCGACTGTCCATTTAATAGCTCAAAGCATTTGTCCGTCTCCTCTTGTCTGGATCAGATAATCCCACCATTATTATTGTCATTATTACCACTAGTCATATTACGCAAGAGTTCTTCTTTGTGATTCCAGCTGTGGAATAGAATTTACGACTTTTTAAACGATTCCTTATGGTTGGATTCGCTTGAGGTGGGAGGCGAACAACAATCCTGTGCGTGAACAAAGTCACGGATGTTGTCTTAAGGTAAACACATCCTCCCCATACAGTTAGGTTACCCGTGTTGGTGAGTAGTGCAATCTCTCAGCGGGTGAGCCGTATTCTTCGCTTATGTGCCCAAATAGCTTGGGGAAATGTTTCGAGCATATCGAATTGGCTTTATTAGCCAAAGTTATGCCTCATTAAATCTAACATGCATGCTGGAAAACAGTAATAGTTCACGATACGTTCGAAGATAACCTGTATCTTCGACCATACACCACCACAGGTTTGGAATAATTAAACAGATGCTCAACTCGTAGGACAGTAAAATTTGAAGCCTTACTTGATTTTACTAAAACTGGTAATGCGTATGAACGACAACCGATGGACAAGAGCCGTTAGTGACTGGATTCTTCGGGATGTTAAACGCACTGCAGGAAGACCACCGACATGATGATCAGAGTTCTTCACGAAAAGCCTAGAAGAAAGATATAATGCTCGACGAGTCTCTAGAGCGAGGAGAACCCACTGGGCTACTCTTGCACGCGACAGGGAAAAATGGAAGAATCACTGGCGTCCGCTCGGGTCACCCGACGACCAACGGGACTGCAGGTGACACAGATGACTAAAAGTGGAACGTCTATAAAGAGTCATTTTTCTTTATAAGTCACTTGTTTAGAGCTCAGCAGATTTTTCTTACAAGATAGAGCTACCACGGCGATTCATCATACTTGCCGTGAAAACGAGTTTCGATTCACGAGCGACAACTATTTGTGGGAACGACTCGAGAGTGGTCTGAAAGAGCATTGTCGTCAGTCCAGGAGGAAATCCTACTCAGTGTGGTGTTAAAATTGTGCTGGAGTTTGTATGAATCATTAGAGCAAGTCGTTTAGAAATGGAATGAAGTAGGTCCAATTAGTTCATCGAACAACCATTTCATCAATCTAGCCAGGCATCGTTTTCATGGAAAAGCAATCAATAATCGAAGAATTCACTTGTTGGGTTGTTCGGTTGCTTAAACGAATTCAAATACCGGACACCTTTCCCACAGTATTCAAACGTACGACTATTTCAAAGGTTTCGTCTCATTTAGGAAATGCCTACCTTGAATTTATACTGCTTTCGTCTAAACTATGGCTCTATTCATCATTTATTTCAGCTGTCGTATCCCTCTGGGTGAACAGATATCTACTTCCTGCGTGGTCCACAGTGATGGTTTCATCCGGTGCTAATCGGAAAATCCACCTCTAATCTTGTCTTTGTTTGATTGCCAACATAATCAGAACGGTGGAAAAAAGTCGATGTCGCATAAGATTTTCGGAGTAAATTTCAGAATAACTCAGTTAGTAATTTTGAAATGGATCCCATTCCAATGTTTTCTGCATTAGAGAAAGGTGTTAGACAAGGCGATTGCATTTCCGCAAAACTATTTTCAGTTTGTATTCTTTCTTGATAAGCTTACACG